ACTCAGTGGGATACCAGCTTCGAAGACCCTATCAGCGGATTAGAACGTGAGATTCAACGAGGGTCCGAGGTTTCTTAATTGATATGCCTCGTAGACGAGGTCAGCAGGGACAAAGGGACGAAGAGCCCCGGGTTTCTTGGACCGGAGGAACAAGCAGGATAGCCATTGGAAACGTAGAAGGTCCGTAGCACAGTGGATCACCTAGTCCTGTTCTTTGTTCCTGTGCTACTAACCTACGAAGACCATTGTGCCCTTTCGCCGACCACAGCGCCTACAATGGTCTGCGGCACAGAAGCTGACCAGGGGTCTGTGACAACCCTGGCCCTAGCTTCCGGGGGACCAGATCCGGCTGGGAACAGGGCGCACGGACGGCAATTTGGACCAGTAACCTTGGAGCGACCAGGTTCTCGGTCTAAGCTGTCAGCGATGTTTCTGGCGTACGCACCAATGGGCCCTACAGTGTTGGGCGTTGACAACCGGGATTGGCTGAAAGGCACAAGGGTACCTAGTAAACCCCACTGAACCCCACTCTCCCCCGGTCACGATATTCAAACCGTTCGAGTTGAAATTCCTGCTGCTACATGTTCAACCAGGGTTGGGCTCGATTGCTGGACGAACACTGAACCGTGGTTGATGTAACTTTTGCTGCATGTTGGGTCACAGAATCAAGACTCAACCGCTGGACAAACAGGAGGCCCTGCTCGATGTGAGTCCGTTCGCAGGCTTCGACTTGACATCCATGCTATTGCGGGCAACCTGGTCAAGTCCGACCCCCGAAAGGGCAGGGGGTCCCTGCTGCTGCAGGTATCCTGGTTAAATTCAACCACCGAACGGGTAGGGGGGCCCTGCTGCTCGAGGCACACTGGTCAAGTCCGACCCCTAAAAAAAATAACCTTCGGTCTAATAGGGACGAAACAAACATTTTTGATAGCATACAGCTCCGTGTATGTCCGAATAATTTGTTCCCGCTTTCTCAGCAACGCGGAGAGGAAGAGGGACCAGCGGGACTCTATCAGATTTGGTTCTTGGGTCATGGGGCTGCTCTCTGATTCGGCCTTCCTCGGTTCAGTCCTCTCGATTCGAAGCTGAGATGGCTATCGTTAGTTGGTTCGGCTAGAAATGACGGGACTTTCACCTCACATTCTCCTTTCAAGCAGACAGGACTGAAAGCCTCGCCGTGTACAAGGTATGGCTCTAGCAAGACGAAGTATTGGCTCCTCCCAGTGCCTTCAGGTTTCCAGGCTCAAAACACGCTAGACGCCATCGGAGGACAACGATGGTCACCCCTTTGACGCCACGGATCCAAGCCGCTAGTAGGCTATCGTGTGAGAGGGCTCAAATGCCGGGAGATAGACACTGCTATGCGCTCCTTGAATTGAGTCTTGCATTAGGTAGACATACCAACGTTTGATCTGGTGAACTTGATCTGGTGAACCGAATCGACTGGGAGAAGGGTCGAGGTAGCCGATTTGGTACCCACCAGCGACTCATCGAAGCGAATTGTAGTCAAGTGGAATCTGGAAAGCATGAGACCGCTTGTTATAAGGGAGGTCGAGCAGACAATACATTTGCTCACTTCGCATTCTAGGCATGGGAATCTGAGGGTGTCTTCCTGTGGTGAGATCCGAGTTAGCAAGCGTTGATCCAGTTGGACGAGATATTGGATTTACGATGAAGCATTTCCCGAGTGTACGGTTGAGACAGATGGTCAATTAGGATCATCATCATACCAGCTTACCAACTAGATCGCTGCCAATTTTCTTCTGCAAAGCAGTCACCATTCATGCCATGTTGTATCCAGGTTCGCCGCACTCTCCCGCTGTCGCTTCGAGAAGCCGCGCTGGATGCACCGGTCAAGTTCACAAGACGGCAAAGGCGCGCGACGAACCTACTTGTGACAAGAAATTGTACAGTGTTATTGGGAGACCGCTTCGTGCAGACAGCGAGAGGCTCCGCCGTTCAGTAAGTGAAGACGGCGAGGGAGGGGAAGACGCGATGGCCCGTCGGCCCCTCGGTCTTGCCTGACTCGGCAGGAATAGGTCACTCGCCACAAGAGTTTTGCGGTTGGCGATGGGCTGCTTCTATAACGGCATGGAAATGTCAGTGGTGTTCGTGTCTGGGGCGCAAACTTGGCACAAATCATCGGACCCGGCGCAGCAAGAGGCGCAATATTCCACTCACCTTATCGTGGAGAACGATCGTCTGGCTTATGTATCCTGTTCTTGGCCAGCTACCTTGGTTTGCAGTATCTCACATAGGACATGCTGCATGGTTTGAAGTGACAAGCTAAGAATCGGTGTGTAAGCCATGATCCTGCGCGGAGCACTGACGGAGTGCTGGTTCGGACTAACTTTGGTGCGCTGTCAACGGTTTCCTGTCCATCATTAGCTTGTCGATCGACGAGGAATGCATGACTCACATGTACTGAAAGAAGACGCGGGAAAGGGCTCCGTGACTGGTGTATATTGGACGGAATGCACGGATCTGGTAATTTCGCATCGTCTTTGCAGTCAGTCTAGTCGCGGAAAGGGTCGCGCTGAGATTTACATACCTGTACAGGATGGAAACCGCTCTTTTGCATTGATACATTCAGGGGTGGGACAGTGGTCGGCTGCTATGATGGAGAGATGTTCGCATAGATACTTCGACCAGCTAACCCAAATCTTGTTTTTTTTTTGGTCGGCTGGCTGGCATGGTAGACCTGGTGGTAATTTCGTCTCTTACAAGCACTTTCTAGCTTGTCGGTCTACTGTGTATCTAATGATGTCAGTCCAATGGGTATTCCAGTAGGGCCAAAGGGAAGACTTATCAGGTGCCTCAAACCGAAGGCCTGCTCGCCTTTGCGCAGCCAAGTGATAGCATTGTAGAACGAATTGCGAGAGGACGTATTTATAGGCTTCTCGGCTCCTGTCGCCACGTGCTTTACTAGGTAGCAAACGTTGAAGAACACGATGCCTATCCTAAGTGAGGCCTGTTGCAACCTATATCTTTGTTCTACCGCAACTATTTGCAGCGAAATTTTTGGTGTGATTCTAGATGCTCACCGAGAAACTCATGCTAGATTCATAATGAGAGTGAGTGAAAGTGAGTTGGTTAAGAAATGTTGGCTCACTGTTGAATCTACGGTCTTCATATTGAGGCACTGTAGGCTGATCAATATTGGATTTTACCAAGAGCGCTCACTGTCATCACTAAGAGCCATGGATTTTTTTTTCGGGCCTCGCCTGAGTGTTGGTTGTCTGAGCTGTGTGTTGTTCGGTCCGTCTACACTGCCGAAAGTCAACCCGTTGAAGCTTGGCCGTCCTTGTTGACTGGAGTCAACTTTTGAACTTATGACCAGTGTTGAGATAGATACCTTTTTGTTTCACATTTCCTTTTCGGTGCTGTAAATTTTACAACATCTACTTTTGGGATTTCTGAGCTTTCCAACGAATGTGGAAAAAGGGTTGTGATTGGATATATCTCCTGAACCTTTCACCAGTGAGCCACTAAACATGAGGTACACTCACCAACCAGCCGATGTAAATACATGCTATAGTGGAAATACATAAATTCAGCCGGTGTATGAACTCTGGCCGTCCGCATCGCGAGGTCTTATCCCATTACGACTGTACAATTTATTATCACAGGTGGGTTCGTCACGCGCCTTTGGCTCACAGAAGTTGCCCGGTGCACCCAGCGTGGCTTCTTCGAAGCGACAGCCGGAGATTGCGACGAACCGGATACATCATCATGTCAACATGGCATGAATGGTGACTGCATTGATGAAGACAATTGTAAGCGATCTTGTCGGTAGGGTGATACGATCACGAAGCTAATTGATCGTCTCATTTAAAGCAAAAATTCTGCGATCTTTATGAACTGGTAAGTCATAACAACTCGTCCAAGTGGTTCAAGCCTTGCTGACTCGGATCGTACAATAGGGGGTACCCTCATGTTCCCGTCACTCGAGTCAAATGCGAAGCGCGCAAGTGCATTGTCTGCTCGGGCTCCCCGATACCGATGCGATCCTACGCTCTATCACCCCGACATGGCCATTGGTGGCATCGATATTGAGTCAATGTAAGGTTCTGATCGTCTCTACCTTCGCCCTTCTCTCTCAGTCGACTCTGTACCTCAGGTCATGCGCTGATGTGTCTACGCGATACATCCCCCAAACTCCAATGGGCTTATACCACCGTGTGTCTTTCGGCATTCGAACACCGTGAAAGAATAGCCCTCGTGAATTGGATTACTGGCGTCCAATGGGTGGCCCCGCGTTGTTCTCGGGTGGCATCTGGCGTCTTTTCAAGCCTGATTATCCGACAGTCGCCGAGAAATGCCGATGGCTGGTCTTGCTTAATGGCAGGGGAGCCCTACCTTCGTTTCTGATCTACGGGCTAATTTTGGTCATACCAGCTACGAACTGAGAAGACAAGGCCGTTTATACCCAGGCACCGCCGAGCAAACTAGAGAGCCAAAAAATACCGTCCGGTACTGTCCCATCTGATCCTACTCCGCATTGCTCAGGTGTTCGACATATACGAACGAGCGGAAACGAACTAATCGGAAATATACGAAGCTATCAAATCGGCATCAGAAATGTCTCCTTTGGAACAGACGTTTGGTAGATTTGGATCCCAAGCACCCGTTTCTCTATCAAAGCCCAAGAAATATCCAGAAAGTCGCATATGCATTGGATGTTACTAAGGACTTCCTGCAAGACCTGATGGCGGATAAAAATTGACTGGCATTATTACTTGGCTTGGGTCTAGCTAAGACCCATAAATTGGATAATTTGAGGTGTAGATACTTAAATCTCTGAAATTCCCAGGTCTTAATAATGTCGCCAAACATGTGCTCTACTCTCTTGAGGACATAAAGGCCTTTGGCCGAAAGGTGCCCAAAAAAGCCTAGCCTCGCTTCTGATCTCTTAACATTGAATTGCTTTGGATTGATGAAAAATGCCTCACTCTGTGACCAGTTTTTACATGATGAAATCCTTGCTTGCCAGTGCAGGCTTAGGAGCTAGTGTTCTCAACCCTAGCCTTGACTCTCGCGACATACTCATTGTGCATGTCGTTCTCATAGAACGATGAAAGAGGCTTGGTGTCGACTCCGGGTTTGATCCAAGAGACCATGCGTCTGGTGAACGCCGTCGAGCCATCAGCCTTTTCACTGACATTGTAGGTGATGACAATTTCCTGGAATGGGCCCTGGGCGTAGTCGGACGGAAATTGAAACTGGAAAAATTCGTTCTTGTGCGAGCGAGTAACCACCCAATGCGCATCGAATTTCAATCCATTGGCATCGTCAATGACTTCGATAAAGCGTGTTCCTTGCTTAGCGGATTCGTTCACGCCCTTTCCGACGATCTGTTGGCTGCCAGGATGGAGGCCAGCCCAATTTGCGGGGGTGGAAATGAAGTCGAAGACAGCCGCAGGGGGCCGATCAATCGAAATATGCGATTCAACGGTGAGAAGAGACATGTTGACGTGCGTAAGTCGACAAAAAAGCTTCGAGATAAAAAAGAGGGTTTTAGTTGGTAGATTTGAAAATGTTTACTAGACTTATATATTTTATAGGCGGTGCTTATCGAATACCCGTAACCGGGAAATCGGCACTTTCTCTATGGTTTACATGCAAATCTCGTACGGAGTACAATTGGTAACAATGATGTGTGCTTATTGGAGCCTCTTTTCATTTCTCGGGTTTCTCGGGTTTCTCGGCAATCTTGAACATCACAGCAAACTCTCATTATTACCCCCGTGACGCCACGCTTCCGGTCTTTTAAGTGGGGTTAAATCCGGCAGGTCCGAGTTCTTTAAACTGCGAGAAAACCGAGAAAATCGAAATTAACTCTCTTCCCACTGTTGACGTGTCAGTCATCTGAATCGCTATTCAACCTATCACCATGGAGTCCACAAGGAATCCTCGGCAAGTGGAGCGTAAGAGACGAAATCAAAAGCCTCGGGTTTTGTTTTCTTGCACGGCGTGTCGCGAGAAAAAGTATGTCAAGCCAAACTATTTATATCTTGATAGATTATGTGCATTGCCTATTCTGTGCACTGACCATTCATTCTAGGCTGAAATGCAATCGGAAACAGCCTTGCAATAACTGTTCAAAACAAACTCGGGACGGGTCTTGCCAGTACATTACGGAGCGCCTAGAGCACGAGGAGTCTCAGGGTATGCAATTCCGTTTGCAAGATGTTGAGAATAGACTGATATACTTGGAAAATTACCTTCAAACCTATCGAATGCTTGGTCCTAGCGCAAATGACACCTCTGGTGTTTGTGCCGACGATACACAGACTATGACCACGGAATCTATTCGTGGAGCGATTTCTCCAGATCCGCAAAGCTTGTCTAGTTCGAGAAGATACTTGTCCAACTATCTGCTGCAGGGACAGGAAGGTACTCGGTTCATCAACCCGTGCCATTGGCGCGTAATTATGTATAATGCTGTTTGTGGAACCCTCCCAATCATCCAGTGATCGCGATTAACTCCACAAAGGATCCTAACATCGTCAATAGACTCAACAATTGCAAAGCGGCAAATGTGAGATTGCTGAGAGAGAGAGGATTATTGATATGGAGACTAGCTCTTCTGGCCCGATCCTCCTCCGGGGCTTTGGAAATGGAACAACTGTTCAGGATCTTCTCGCATCGCTGCCCCCGCGGGAAAAAGCCGAAGAGCTGGTAATCCGCTGTCTTAGTTCTGGCGAACCCTTTTTGAGTGCGGCAAGCTCGGATGCTAAATCAATACGGTTAATGTGTTTCTGACATCTCTCTCAGTGAATATTCATCCCCCTACATTCAAAGCCGAGGTAATTCACCCACTATAGTCCGCTGTTGACAATTTGAGATCCTGACTGTAAGGCGAAGTATGAGGAATTTTGGAAAAATCCTTCCAAAGCCTCTCTGCCCTGGATCGCGCTTTTATTTGGCGTACTCTCCTTGGCAGTGATGATCGAACACACCAATAACTCGGCGACGGCCGAAATGCAATTACCGGAAACCTTTAGTCTTTACAAAACGCGATGCGCACTTGCCTTGACCATGTCAAACTACACTGTGCCTGGAAGAAATAAGATTGAGGCTCTGATTGTCTATCTAGGGGTCGAAGTTCTTCAAGCCAACAATCTAAAGACTGGTATTTCCGTCTTAGTAGGAGTTCCCATTAGATTGGCTGTCACGATGGGCTACCACCGAGACCCACGAATCCATTCTCAACTTTCGATTTTCGATAGTGAAATGAGACGTCGGACATGGCTTTTGATCCGCGTTATAGATCTCATTCTTGCAGGGCAGACAGGTATTCCTCCAGTTATTATGCGTGGCCTGGGCGATACAATCAATCCTCGCAACCTTTTTGATCATGATCTTGGTCCTTCACTCACTGTTCTACCGCCTCCACGCCGAGAAAGCCAAGACAGGATGAGCAATATTTCATACATGATATCTATGGAAAAGATGCTATCCATGGCCTATGAAATCACAGATATCGCTTCTGAAGGGATATTGGATCCCGAGAGAACCGTGCGCCTAAATGAGCGACTAGAGGCGACCTGGAATGAACTTTCTTTGCCATTTTATACGAGGACTTCAACAAATGAGGATGATACGCGAATAAAGTTACTGTCACTCGAGATGACTAGGCAACGAGCGTGTTGCATTTTACATCGTCAGTATCTGGTGGCTCCAAGAGCAGACCGCAATGACGAGATTTTCCGCGCGGCCTGCGTGAATTCTGCCCGCAGAATTCTTGAGTGCCAGTCTGAACTTTTTCAGGGAATATTTGGTATGCCACAGAATCGACATCGCGCGTGGTTCGGTGTCTCGCGTTCTGTCTCCGACTGCATGACTGCCGCCATGGTTATATGCCTTGAGGTGATCAACAGAAGCAAAACTGATCATCACATGAATGAGGCTATCCGAGCCGAACTCATAGAATTACTAAAAGCCTCGCGTGCGAGCTGGAATTTCTGCCCAAGGCCATCACCGGAGACCGCTAAGGCGGCCGAGATAGTGGCAATGATGCTCTCTTTGGTGGAGGCTGATCGAATGAAGAGTCAAATAAACTCTTCACATTCAACTTTATCGTCAATGCAGAATTCAAAGCACGCTCTCCAGGCTCCAATTTCAGCGGATTCCTCTTTTTCAGAGCCATGCATCCCAGGTCTTTTCAGTAACATCCAAAATGATGGTTCTACAATCGAATTGTTTGATTGGGTATGGTCCGCTTGATCGGCTACATGGACCGTAACTAACCATTGAAATAGGGACTTTGGGACCGTGAGATCCAGCAACTGAATGATGTAGCCATTGCTGAGAATTTCCTGGAATAAGAACAATTGGCATAAAGATGGATAAATTTAAGGCGCATGTCGAGATCCACAGGTTCCAAAAATATAAGTAGCAGCCATGCAGGCTTCATGACCTCTCATTAATGGAGCACAGATAGTGTGTAAAAAATCTGGTGTAGAATCGGTACGGTACAACGAAACAATTTTCTGGAAAATCATTCTCAATGGTGCTGCGTTGATCGATCATACAAAGCTACCGTCCGCGAAAGGACCTGCAGACGGGTTTACTATGGCGGAAAGGCTGCAACCAAGAAGTTCATGGAAGATGCTGGATATGGGTTGGGTGCAGAAAACCAACGTCAATGCCGTATTTTCTGGAAAAACCTATTCGAAATGCGTGAAGCCGGCATTGACAAAGTCCTCTACTACCGCACCAAAGCATTCGACAGCTACTGCAAAGGATATCCTAAGACGTCAGAAATCTCTCTTGTGGATGCAATCAAGAAGTGGGAGACCCAATATAGACCTCATATCGAACAACTGGAAACGCGGGTTCTCAGACTCGGCAAAGGTGACTTGACGCGCCTATCCGATCTTGACAACCCCCAGGTCGCAGAGAGGCTGAAAGTTCACGAGTCCTCTTGGAACAACGCCAGAAATGAATGGCCTTAACTAGCGAAGAAGAAAGCTTTAAGTGAAAGGGTTTGCAGAATTTCACTCCTGATGTAATATGCGGACCCTACGACATCCAATTAGCATTAGAATCTGGGGGAGATAAGTCCGCATTTACTTTTCTCCTGCCTAAAGATGGCAGCTCTTTGTTCGTCTGTTCCATCGTCCCCGTGCGCGAGGGAGACGTTCTAGGCATATTTGCTGGTAAGATTCGTTTTTCGGAAGACTGGAGTGCCACCCACGGTATCCGCGGTCTTATCGACAATCTGTGGCTAGACTACTCACAAGTCACTGGTACGCTGAACCAAATACTGGTCTCAGAACCTGGTGGTCCCGCAAACGTCCGCCTACAGTGGGAAGTAATCCATGATGATATTGGGACCGATAACTGCACCTCATGGAGAGTCTCTGTGAAAGCTACTAAGCCAATAATGCCGTTCAACCCTCTCATTCGTGTGGCTACTCAGCAAGAGCAATATGTGCTGCATTCATCCTCTGAGACCGCAAAGGGGGGCTTTCTCAAACTTTGCGAAGCGGACTGAAAAAGTTCAAGTACTGGGTTTCTCGAAATCGCCTTGACCAAAACACACTGACAATCTCTTTTCTGGCCCCACTGCCAAGGCCTTAGCGCAGTTCATTCATTGAGCAGGCCTCTTTAAGTTGAGGACGATTGTACAGTGGCCGTTCATTAGTATTTGCACCGTGGTACTTCCGTCCTACACCGCCAATTCTCTACCGCCTGCCTGCATGCTGGGCGTTACGATGTCCTCGTGAGCCTCTTTGAGCCAGGGAGTTAATAAGGTAGCTAGAATCGGCCATAAGAATTGGCTGGCTTGGACATACAGAAGTTATCTACAAAGTACAGGTGATCGAGCAAGCTAAATCAGTAATGGCTAGTATTGCAATGAGTGGGGATTCTAGTGGGAGAACCAATCAGTAGGATTGACAGATTGAATTGATTGATTGTAGATAAAATGAGTGGCAGGCAGAGGGTATGTTAAATACACATCTGCAGAGTTGGTCCATAGTTGATATGTGGATGGGACCAATTCCTCCGTGTCTTAGAGGTCCCATGGGATACTCGAGAGTGACTTGAAAGTGTTGTCTCGGAACCCCGTACTTTTCATACAAAACACAAAGAAAGGCGGGGGACGAAGGAAACCAATAGGAGGCAGCTGTAAGTAACTGCTCCACTTTCCTCGACAACAGCTCAACCTGCCCCTTTTCTACATTCCCTCATAGGTTTTCCTTTCTCAATCAATCACATATTTTCTGATGATTCCGGTAGTCCTCATTCGCCACCATGTTTACTAGTTCGTACGCTTTTAGCTGGCTCTGACAGAACACTACTTAGGGCTGTATTGGCAGTATAAATACAGTGGCGCCGCAAAAGTCTGTGACCCCCCTGGTTGACCGCCAGTAGTACCGCCTACCTATTATAGCCTACTAAATCTCCTGGACGCGTGGTCGCGACCGTCGCGTATCGCGTTATATGTAATATTTTGATATTATTCAACCACGTCTACACTATGCCTCGCACAAGGGCAGGTTTACCAGTGCCTAGCCCTCCAACGCCTAGAGGGCCTATTCCTACTGCGCCTAGGCCTCCTACTCCACCTCCAAGCGACCAGCCAAGACGCAAGAACTGCGAATTAGATGTGAATCTACGCACTCAGATCACTACATTAAAAGATGTTGCAAAGTGGTCTTATCGTCAGATCCACGCAAAATATCCAGATATACCGCTCTCAACTATCAAAATGACTTGTTTAAGGTCTCGAATTCGCCATAAGGAAGAGTCCTGTAAACGATCTGAGCGCCCAAAGATCTTAAACGAAGATGACCGTCAAAAGATCCTCCAGAAGGTCCACGAAAATCCTCGAGCTTCATACGATGATCTACTCTCTGAGGTTAATCATAAGTGCAAGAAAGATTCAATTGCACGTCTACTCTCTATTGAAGGTCTCCTGAAGTGGCGAGTGATGAAAAGGCCATATCTAAAACCTGAGCATGCGGCTGCACGACTCTCCTGGGCTTTACGGTATCAACACTATACTGAGGAAGATTATGACAGAGTATTCTGGTCTGACGAGTGTACAGTTGAACGTGGCTTCGGCCTCCGGCCTGCGTATCCCCTCGTCCGGCATGGGCAGTCCATTTAGCGCATTTTACTAGTGTATTATATTGACGCGTGCTAATTGGCTAACCTCAGTAATGATACAGTACCCAAAAATCAAAGTAATCAATTAAACCTAATTCGAACTAGCTATTGTCTATGGAATTCATCCCAACATTGCCCTTTCGCACATAGGAGCACACGGTGCACACCACATTGTACACAACCTGATCTTGATCGATTAGCCTGCTGGCCCCTTTTACCCTTCTGCCTATGATACTGACACCATATACAAGCCATTCGCTTATCGAATTGAATTCGCTGGTGGCTTGTACTAGTCACTGGTGCAGGTCTTGGTTTTGCTGCAAAGGCAAAGAGCTCTTTGTAGAGCTTCTTCCGAAAATCTAGTTGACTAGGTAGATCACTACTACTAGCCCCCTGCTGCTTTTTAAAGATATATTGAATGCGATAGGCATTAACAATTGCAGCGTCGATAAGGAAGAAAAAAATAGGAAACCATACACGCTCAGTCTTCCGATGGATCTCATAAGAAGCCCGATACTGATTTGCAATATCTACACCACCGGGCCGTGGGAACATCTGACCACGTCTATCTCAGTAACACTTTGACTGATTAATTTAATTTGCACTCCAGAACCGGTTGTTATAACGGGCAATGTTTTCCTCGAACATCTCGACCCAACTCTTGGAGCGATTGTCGGCTTGAGTTATACAGCATCAGCAACGATATATGAAGTTCGTAGCCGTATGGAGTGCGCTCAACGCGTCGGAGGGAGGTATCTAGAATTCCTGGCTTCCATCGCAGGAGGAAGTGAGTGACTGCGTTTCGGAACTCGGAGCCGTCATATTAGGTCTGGTGTCAACGCAGAATTGAGAGAAGCCCCATCACGGAAGGCTAATGAAATGATTTGGTTGATTGGGAAGTACACCAGTTGGTAATCACAATGAAGAATTCGGTTCTGAGAAGAAGGATCAGCGTCAGCAACAGCTAGATGTCTAGGGGAGGTGGATTGAAGATGCCCCTGCCGATCAGCGTCTTCTGGCCGGCCTTTTGAGATTGCGAAACTCGATGATTGCACAGAGGTCGCGTCTGTTATCTGGGTCTCTAAAGTGAAGGAGCTTCTCTGTTTGTCTGATTCCCATGGTATGGAGTGGACGGGAGGAGGAAAGAAGAGAGAGAGGGGAAAAGAAGGATCTATCTAGCTACGCTGTCTCCATGGGTGCCTGGTACATCTCAGGCCACCAAACAAGTTTTCAACTTCACTCAATCTGGTCTGAAAGAGTAAACGTTTGCTAAAATTAGCTGGTGCCTGCCCTCAAATGCCCTACATAAATATCGGACTTCCTAACTAGCTAAAAATTATGAAATCTGGAGTTTTATAGGACATGCTGATAAAGAGTTATATACAATCTTATACCAGGTGTCTAGCTCCATTCCAGAGGGGTTCTCGGATAAATACCTAGCAAGCCACACTTATATCCACCAAGTTTCTGATTTCTGACATTGTTCTTCCACTGTCACCCATGCGATATGTCCAAGTACGTGAAAATTCCAAGGTAATTCAAAAACAACGTCTTCTCACAACACAGGTGACTCCCACTATAATGGAAAGAAAAGCAACGATCGCTATCAAACTATCCATCCTTATATGGTCCGCTATATAATTAAGGGCCCGCCCATCCGATCCATGCCATGACCTGCCTGCCTTGTGCTGTATCACCGCCGTTGAATATCTATCGTCCAACAGGCCCAGATTGTCTTGTAGGCTGCCGTATAGCCATGCGTACTTTCGAAATGCCGCCGTCACCATCGTAGGCCCTGTGGACCAGAAGACTTGTAGGTATGGCAGTGGGATGAATCGAGACGTCGCACCGCTGCGGCGCTTACCCTCGTATAGCACCCACTGGAGGAATGGGGAACCGGGCGCCGCCATAAAAAAATGGTTGCTCAGCCCTCCGGTGCCCGTCATAGGGGCGAATATAGCCTCTAGATTGAGACTTTGGAGACATTGTATATTGGTGGCCGAGGTCGGGTAAACGTCGAGGTCTGCGTATATTCCTCCCTCCGCATGGATGACAAGCAGCCTTGCGATGTCCGCACGTTGTACGTTTTGGGGATAGGCTTCGTACGTCGATAAAAGCCAAGCGTAGCTTCCATTGATGAGTTGGAGGATATCATCGTCTGTCCAAAGCTTGATTGTGTAGTTTAGGGGCTCGAGAGCGTGCTTCCACCGGTCGTGCGATGCGTCCATTTCTGTAGAGTAGGTTCGGAGGTCGTTTGTTTTCCATATTTGATGAACAACGTTAGGGATTTGTGGGACGGCAACAGAATGAGAGTCGTTGGGGTGTTCAAAATCAGAGATAGCGCACGCAGTAATTACGTCGATCGAAGCGGACAGCTCGCCGGGGTTGGAAAAGGGGTTTGCGAAGTCGAGCAGATGAATGAGGAGTATGAGAACGAGGGACACGATTCCGACAGCGATGAACTTGGTCCGTCCTTTCCCCCAGATAATGATCATCATAGTTTTTCGAGTTATATGAGTGGATAGATTCCAGTGTGAAACACATGAAGCAATAAGAACTGCGAATGAGATGAAAGCCTAAATTGCGATAGGCAAAGAGTAGGGTTTCGTAAGAGACTGCTCGTTTGTTCAAAAAAGGGAATAATAGCATTTTAGTATGGATGCAAAGAATAAGATAAGGAGTCTCTGGTTGAATTTACGAAACAATACTGTACTCACGGTATGTGCTAATATCTACTCTCAATAGCCTAGAAAGAGCACTAGAGTACTAGAATATTCCTGTATAACGGCCATTCCAGGAGCACTTCGAACACTATCCTATGCACTTCATATATCTCATTGCGTGACGACGATTTGATTGGGAAGACTTGCTAGATATTCAAGTGCAGTTCTCGTTGTCATACAAGCAGGAGGTAGAATACCAGAACAGAAGGCGTAATCCCATACCAATACCAAATGAGACAGCCCTCTTGGCACAGTATACTGTTCGGCAGACCCTCCCGCTCCGTGTTTCCGGGATCGACAGGGTTGTAGTGGTATATTATAAGTTCCGGTGACTCAAATACGGTTGCCTATCTAAACTTAGCTATCAGCTTAATTCTCCTAAGTTCCAGCTTCCCCAGACAGGGTTCACGAGGCAATTGCTCGTAGGGGGACTCAGTTAGAAGGTCCAATAGGTGATTACATCTGTCTCTGCTTGATGAAACATCACCATCAAACCAGACATTACTTGTATGTTTGATTAACAGGCTACTAAAGTAAAATACCTATGAATATCAAGTCCCCACGGCGTCTATATAAACGAAAGCAAATATAGATAGATCGTCGATAATCACCTGTTGACGGCCTGCCACTCCGCCTCTCCGCCTGTTTAGGCAGGGCCTGGTGCTTTGGATGGCTTATTATTCTTCCATCATTATACGCTTCAGTCAAAATAAAACTTAATGACTTTTCTCCCTTTTGCATCTTCGTCACAGGCGTATATTACTCTTCCTCATGTTGGCGGTGGATCCCCGTCTCAGTGCCATACATGGATATGTTTGCGGTGAGAGCCAACCGACTTAGGTTCAGGACATTTTCCGCGGTGTTGTAGAAGTTCCATATTTGGAAATTTCAAAGACATCTCTTGGTCCATAGAAGATACGGGAAAAGAGCAACCTTGACCCCCATCCTATGTATTTATATAAAAAAAGCATAATACCGATTATCACGGTGAAACATCGGTATTTAGGCACGGGGTATCCAGTTTTTGTAAACCCCATACGTTCCCACGCTATACTTCCGTCCAAGACCTAACATGGACCGGGCTAGAATTTCAGTCCAATTGAAGTACTTCTCGATTGACAATTTATGTGGTAAATTGCATGAGCGACGTGACAATCTATAAATGAATTCAATATATCTGAACGGAAAAATACCCAATATTAGAGGCAAGTAAACTTCTAAGCTTTTACAAAATAGGCAAGCATATATTAGCAATCTCTTGATGTACACATTTTGATTTGTAATAATAACCATAGGTCCGTTCCCACTTAAACCAGAGAATTCTCGGAATATAATCTAGGCAGCCACTTCACACCTTCTTTATTCCAATGGTAGTGCTGTAAAATGCCAAGGATCTGCAAGGACTTACGGGGAAAGGACCCCGGTAATAAACACTCCAGTGAACCAGGCCAGCCCCCAACTATATCGACAAGCTGACCAGGATGACCTTGGTTGAAGATACAGTTCGGGGTTTTGCCTATCTCCGGCTCCCAGCATACGCGCCTTTTAATCCTAAATCCGGGAAAACAGCCACCAAAGTCTATGCGAATTAGCTAATGATCTCCATTTTGCGGCTTGTGCCGCACCTCCCCATAGAGCCAGGATTCAGCCGGCCAGGGTGTAGGTGCGGCATATTATTGTATATTACCTTAGCCGTAGTAAATTGCTGCGTGGCACGTTCGAATTCCTCCAAATCTTTTTTAGTCTCGGCCATTCCTACTGGCGCGAAGCCCTTCTGTGGACCACTGTGACCTTTAACCACAAATTTGGGCTGGTCCCTTATCAAAGGCGGTGATTCATGCCAATCACGCTTCCTTAGTAGATGACTCGTCGAGATACGGATGAGTAATGAGTACTGCCGTATACTGAGTAGCCAGCCACCACCGGATCGGTCGACGGCATCCGGAGTGCGGTGATATTGTCGCAATCGGTGTGGCCGATTTGGATCACCATCACTTTCTCACCTTCGAGCTCAAGCTGATCGTCTTGGAGTGGGTCAGCAAGTACAAGCTTCTCCGAGATTTCTGTTGTAATTTAGAGAAATGGTTATTCTTCTTGTTTCTGACGGGGTTCAAGAGGCCATATTTATACAATATGAAGTCCAAGTTGATTGAAAATCAAGGAAGGAAGAGAGAGATTGGTCCGCTGTCCGTTTCTCTAAGACTTGACTAATCCTCAGCCGAGGCAGGAGGGAGCTTGCTGGTTGTTAATAACCAGTAAATTTCACTTTCGGGGGTTTTTTTTTGATGAGTAAAAAACACGGACAAAAACGTTTTGCTCGGCGGGTCAACGCCTGCTGATAGTCCGGGCTGTCAAAAGGTTGTACGCCTGTATCAAAATTTCGAGTCCTCAGTATATTGTTCTTCGAGTACTTGTTAGAAAAGGCGTCGATTTGACATATCAGCACCGATGCCTCGGTAATCGAACGGGGTCAATCGTTCATTTGAGAACGACCTAAATCGGTCGTGCTTAATATTTGAACGGTTGCGAGACCCAATCATTAGACGAGAATCTACTATGCACCTTTGCCGAGGAAACCCTATTCGGCCATCTACACAATACACGATGATTTTACCCCAGCGATCTCAGGTACGTACAGCAAGGTTGTGCTAACAGTTTCCAGTTACCCTCGCGTAGTGACTGATTCAGTGGATCCACTGATCGGCCAACTTTCGTTTGGCCGTTAGTGTGGCAAATTTTTCTGGTGGAGCACATCTTTTTTTATAGTGCCCTGAAACAGACGATATGAGAGGAAGGGACTTCATTCGGCGCAAATTTTTGCCTGCCTTCTCACCTAAAGTGCGTCGCTCACCTCTACACATTATTGACCAATTGCCTTTCCCTTTCGGGTATAGCGCTTTCTATAAATGCGGGTCCTCTTACTCCCATCTTAGCCTTCTGGTTGGTAATTACTCATGCATTAGGGTTAGATCGGTACCTATATTACTGGATTGTGACCCATATAACTCCACAACAATACAACTACTATACACATGCTACAGGAATTCCTCTAGTTCGCCAATTTGAGGCAAGCGAGACCAAGTCTCTTATTCGTACTGCAAACGTTTGACAAATTCAGGTCAAAGATTTCTTTCGGGTCTCGGGGATTATACTTATGTCCGCTATTTTCCGGAGCCTATTCCTGGATCATTACAAGGATCAAACTGATCGCTGCTAAGGGGATGGAGTATTCCGTCTGCGCTTTGAGTTTCGTACAAGCCAAACAGTCTGGCTGAAAGGATGCGCTAATCATGCGAGTTGTGAAGGGTTGAGCGCAAGTGCGTGCATGCACGATTCGCAGCCAACTAGTGCTAGTAACGAGGAGCTGGTATTGATCCAAGGGTGAATTCTGTTCTGTTTGTGTCCATTATTCTTGCTAGGTTCAATCTAAGGCATGAGTTATCAAGTGATATACTTGCTTCTAGAATGACAGATATTCAGCAATTCCTGAGGCATTGTCGCTTCTATACTTTAAATCGATTTGATCATGACCCAATCTTCCAGCCTAGAATTTCCCAACGTGAATGCCATCTCCCCAGCCTTTAAGTATCCAGTGCTCTCATATAGGCGTTCAGCTTTGAGATTTGGCTTCCATGATGCGAGCCAAATATTCTTGCCTCCCATACCCCTCGCTTCCTTCTCTGCTCGCGCCAACAGACGCTTTCCGATCCCTAGCCCTTGGCAACTTTCACTGACATACAACCGCTGCAACTGAATCTTGTTTTCCATCTTGTCGATGCATCTCTCGGACGTACCGCGTCTGAGCTGGAGGAACCCGACAAGAGATTCGTCCTTCATAGCTACCACAAAAGTAACAGAAGGGTCTCTTAAGTCGGTAGCAATACTTTTTGGCGAATATGCTTCGGAGAGATAGGTTGTCAGGTCATTGAGAGGCAGCAGTGGTGCGAAGGCCGATGTAAAAACACGCGCCCCTAAGTTGGCAATGGCCTCATTGTCCCCCATATGGGCATAACGGTAAGAAACCTGGCTTTCCGGCATTTTGAATGGTTTGTGGTCTAGTCACATCCGGGAAATGACCGCAAAAAACTTTTTTTGGTTTGAGACCAGTGAGCCTTTTATAAACACACTTCAAGACCCCACGTTTGATGACTCATATTCTCAGCCAATCAGGACTTCGCGCAGTGATGGAGCAGGCGCTCTGCGGAAGCTGAATTTCCATTCACACACGAGGCTTTCTGGGTCTTTTCGGTAACCTCTCAGGGCTTGGATTGCGCGAGATATGAGCGGCAGTCTGTATCACATTAACTACATCTCTTGATCCTAAGTCCTCGAACCATAGGAAAAGAGCTTACAATATGCACCAATCGCCGGATACATCGGCAGCCCGTATTCTACGCCATTCATCTGCAGTCCCTGTTCGTTTATCGTGCGCGAAGATAGGCCTGATTCCGCAAGCCGACAGTGGAAACATACTGTTCCACTAGTTTAGTTATCTGCTTGGGGGAGCAATGCCTACAACGAGGATCCGCTGAGCTATATCCACTACCTGATAGAATAGCGAATCAACAGCGAGGCTGCGGTGAAGTATCACACCGCCAGACCGCCCGCACGCAGCCTCTCCAGGCTCATGTCTTCAAGGCCTCCCTTAATGAGAACCGGGCGAACTACCTAAGATCGATTCGTCGTCTTTGGGCTTGGAGCAGAGCACTCCAAATAGGGTGCTTCTGTGCTAGCGTATGGAGTTTAACTTAACTATGGTTTTTCTGCGCGCG